CTCTGTTTTTAAAATTTAGAACTGAGTAAGTGAGACTTAAGATTAATTTTGCCTTCTCTGCAACCTTTGGATCTGGGATGTTTCCCTGTTTATCTTATCTTGCCTTCTTCCATAGCAGAAAACGATCGATTTCTTCACCGGGCATGGTTTATTCTAATTCATCATCCAAACCCACATACCCTTTTCGAGACAACCTATGGTTGTACTCGCATTTTTCCCTCCTCTGTGACTGCTCAGAATGCACAACCCCAAATTATGGGGATAACCTTGAAGCTACAAAGGCATCCCATTGAGATTTCTCTATGAATTTATATAGCTGAGGGGGTTCGTTTAACTTCTCCTTGTCCTTTGTGAATGGAAGGATAAACTGCCTTGTTAATGTAGACTTGAAATCCTTCCATTTTTTGGCGGCACATGATAGCACCATCTTCTTGCCCCCTTGCCCAACAACATAAGCCATTTGAACAACTTCCCAAATCTGCTCCTTCAGGTCCTTGGGCAATTGAGTCCATTTCTTGTCCACAAGAGGGACTCTGGTGCGTGCCAAAACACTAATGTAAGATTGCATCTCAATAACAGCCTTGCCATGTGGTCTGCCCATTTTATTGTACTCAACCACGGGCTTAATCTTCTAGATTTTCCTCTTCACAACACAGCTCATTGTGTTTATACCGCGAGTCGATTTTGGCTCCTCATCAAATGTGGCTGAGCTATGGTCTTTCTTAGAGGTTGAAGTAAATCTCATCCTCTTCGCGGGCTTGCTTTGAACTAATTTGGCTTCATCCATTTGAGCCTTTGAAACTGCAAGGTCCTTACTAGGACCTTTTGACACTTGAGCCTCCTTACTTTGAGATTTCGAAACCATGTTTAATGAAACCTGCAAGAGAAACAATGAATGTTCATTAAACAGATCGATGTAATAATAAAGAGAAGACGTCGAAAATAGACCGCCGTGATATTTAATTTAGGACGACGGTTGTAAAACATCACCGTCGTCGTACGAAAAATAAAACGACGACAACAAGAAAACACCATCGTCTTATTTAGAGTGACAGAAGAAACCACACAGTTCTCTTTACAACGAAGGTATGAAAATAAGACGACGGTTTTATCTCATTCATGTCGTATTAATTGTAACACGACGACGGTTATTAAGTCTAAACACTGTCGTGGTTTATCAATTAAAACGTCAAAAACAAGACAAAATCGTCGTCTTACTGAGTGGTGATACAGGAAAAATCGCATAGTTCTCTCTCCCACGATACGACGGTTTTATCTTGTTGCCGATGTATTAAATGTCACTCCACGATGGTTATTAACCACCGTCGTGCTTTTTACCATCGTGGTGTGTCAATTCTAACGTCGCAAACAAGACAAAACTGTCGTCTTAATAAGAGGTGATACAGTAAAAACCTCACAGTTCACTCTTCCACGAGATGACAGTTTTATCTTGCGCTGATGTATTAATTATCACACCACGACGATTATTAAACACCGTCATGCTTTTTGCAACAACATTGATTTAAATACCGTCGTGGTGTATCAATTCTAACGTTGTAAACAAGACAAAACCGTCGTCATTACACGTCGTGAGAGTGATGGACTAATGAATTTAATCAAACCAGTGAAAGATTTCGTCATTTTGAACGGAGTCTTGTTTCCCGACTCGTTCTTTCAAAAACCTCTTCAAATGAAATTGAAAAAAAAAAAAGAGTGAGAAAAAACCTTTGGCGTGCAAAGAAAGTTTCCTTCCGATGTCAACTTTGGTGATTTAGGGACGAAGACGATGACGATGACGAGATTCAGACGATGATGATTACAAAGCCGCTTTTGGGAACTGAGAGGGAAACTGAGATATTTTATCGGTGAGAGAGAACGTAAAACTTTAGGTCAGGTGAAAAAAAAGTTTATATATTTTCCCAAAGTTCAAAAACACGACGGTTTTGTTAAAAACCGCCCTAGTATGTCGTTAAAACGATGGAAACTAAGTAGGAACCGATGTGGTTAATAATAAAACCAAACGACTTTTGGAATTCCAAAACCGACGTGGTTATTTAAATTTTACATGACGAAAGTTTACTTGTTTATGGATAGCCATCGTGGTTTTTTAAAAGTCAACGACCTTTAGTTTTAGAAAACTGACGTGGTTATTGAGTTACACGACAGTAATTTACCTTTACTGACGTGGTAAACTATTTAATACGGCACTATTTACTACTACACCACCTTGTTTTAGTGGACCGTCGTGGTTAATTGAAAGTCAACGGCTCTTGGGTTTAGTCAACTGACTTGGTTATTGAGTTACACGTCTGTAATTTAATTTTTCTGAGGTGGTACATTTTTAATACGTTGCCGTTTGGGATTTCGCCGACGTGGTTTGTTGCTATTAGACGTTTTTATTTATATAAGGACTGCCGTGGTTTTTGAAGATATTTTGTATAAATTTGTGGCTTTTCACGCGTTCTTTCAGTTTCAGTTTTCATTTAGCGTTCCAACTTCTTCTGGCCCTGTGCTCTCTCTCACCTTTCTGGAGGCAATAGTTTGGATGTTGATGTGCACACATGTTTGTGTATCTGAAAGAAACAAACACACATGCATCTCAACCTTTAAAAAATTGCTTTTCTCAAAGCTCGCCGTGGTCAAATTATAGAGGCAAATTTTTTGGATTTTGATGCTTATTTGCTTTTGTGTATCGTAGGCTACCAAATTTTTTGGATATTGATGTTTGGTTTTTGGCAATTCTTGTCATTTTGTTGATCTACCGTCTTAGGCTACCAAAATCCATGATATGAATCTTAAAAGAAATAAAAACTAAGATAACAGTTCACTGATAATGTAAGTCGTATAAAATTAATTAATACGGCGGTTTTTTCATTTTTCTCCCTTTGAGTTTTGACACCGTCACAGATTTCATATATGAAATGCACCAAGAAAATGATGTCCGTGAGTGATCTTAAAAGAAGAGCAACAGTCTGCAACACTGTGTCCATTTGAAGGCACTTGTTTTGCTGATCGATGATTAGAATGTAGGGAAAAGAACAAAGGGTCCTGTGAGACAGCAAACACACATGATGTTACAAATATCTTATTCCATATATGACGGTTTGTCCCTCTGGATTACGTATTTTCTTCATTGTGGCATACATCCGCGTTTTAACTGGACTGGAAAAACAAACAAAAAATTGCACCCATCATCAGAGTAGTCAGAAGAATGAAGAAAAGAAACATTAAAAAGACCCATTGCCCATCAATTTAATGTGGTTCTTGTGTTCAAAGCAAATTTAGCTTTATTCTCAAATCCAAATCTTTTATTTTAAATCCCTTCCAAATACCTATTATGGTTCTTGTTTTCATACCATAAATAAATAAATCAAATTACATAAAGCCCCATTGTGGGAAAAGTAGCTTTAAAACCCATAAGACCTTAGTTGAATTTGCTGGTGCTCCAGATCCTCCACACTACTAGTATTCATCGTTATGTGCCAAAATTGAAATTGGATGTACTATAAGATTACCGAAACATATTCCAAATATTTGAAAACCAAATTAAGCTGTGCTTGAAGCCAATATGGAACAGAACATTGTTAGATTCAGTTTTATAGACTTACCTGCACGCATCAGCTCAACTCAACATGCAATAATATAATTAGGAAGGGTTAATGACCTAAATGGTCCCCAAACTATTGCCCCAGTATCATTTTGGTCCACCAACTAAAATTTTCAATTCAAACGTCCTTAAACTTTTTATTTTGTACCAAGATGGTCCATCCATTACAGATTCCGTGACTTCTGATCACGCGATGGCCACGTGACTGAGTTTTGAAGAGTATATGCGACTTTTTGAGAATCTAACACAAAACTCCCATTTTCTTCTTCTTCCTCCTCCCTCCCAACTACCACTAAATTGTTGCAATTCAGAAAGTTTTTGAGATTCATTGTTAGCAACTCAGAAAGTTTCAGTCTTTATGTCGTTTTGGTGCTCAAGATGCACCAAATCCCTCAATCCCCATCCCCTGCAGCTCCCCAACCCCAACCCCTCGGCACCAGTCACCTCCTTCAACCTTTCGCCGCCTCCACACCCGCCAAGATGTCGCCATCAAGCTCATGGACTCTAGCTCACTCCAGGGCGAGCGCGAGTTCCAGAACGAGCTCTTCTTGGCCCCCAAGCTTGACTCGCCGCTCGTCGTTTCCATCCTCGGATTCTCCTCCGACCCCAAACGACGCCGTAGGAGGATACTCACCTAAAAATACAGTTTTGTCCCTCGATTTCACGGAATAATAAACAGACTTTGATGGATGGACCATCTTGGTACAAAATAAAAAATTTAAGGACGTTTGAATTGAAAATTTTAGTTGGTGGACCAAAATGATACTTGGGGCAATAGTTTGGGGACCATTTAAGTCATTAACCCAATTAGGAAATAAAATGAGAGACTTGCCTTTGTAGTTGACGAAGAACCAGCGATAACTATATAGTCTTTTCTTAATATTTTCTTCCTTGGTTAATTCTTTGCCAACCATAGACTTGTCCGTTCTTAGTCTTTTCCTAATTGCCTTTGTAGTTTTTATTTTTTATTTTTACACAAACGATATTGGGAGAGACGGGGTTTTCTTTACGCACAGTTTTTGCTAGTTGCTAACTTTTTTCAAGGTTAACAGCTGAGAAATCAGCAACTGGAAAATAAAAATTGTATTCCAGTATAGTGGGAATTGAATAATACTGTATTCCGCATCATCAAACTTGTAAGTTGCTGATTGGCTAAGATCTTAATCAATTAACTTCGTCGCGTGCGTCAATGTATAAAAACTTGTGGTAGTTGATCTTTCGTTTTTTGCTTTGTTGGGGAGTTAAAGTCAATCACTCCCATAACTCCACCTGTCTTACAAATTTTTAACTCATTCATTATTAATATTATTCTGGAATGATATAGATGAAGCCCAAATTTAAGACCAGTTAATTTTTACTGATTCAGTTAATCTTTACTAATATCAAGAAAGAATTTATCAGAAAGAGGGAGATGGGCATGCAGTATTCATTAATTAGTATATAATATATTGGTTGCAAATGTTTAATCAAAGTTTCTACAGCAACAGTAGTATCAATCAATGTTAATCATCAGCTGATTGGTTTTGTCCTAGTTGAAGTGTTAGGACTCAGTATCTCACATTTTGTGAATCGTGATGGTTCAAGAGCTTTTGTGCACCGTCGAATCTCCTTAACATGGAGCACCAAGGGGGCTCCTTGGGGAAGATACCTGATCCCTGAGCTTGCTGACATTTACTCTTTGTCTCCAGGTGCTACTACCACCACTACCTTCACCAGCCAATGGGGGTGTATGCTGCTGCTTATTCATCTTTGCTTGATTAATGCGATGGACTTCTCTTTCTATTGAAGAAATTGCGAGCTTCTTCAGCTGCTCCAACTGAGGCTCGATAAATTGGTTGAGCTCCTTGTCCTTGGTGAAATGCCACCAGAATTTAGTGATTACCAACTCCAAGTCCCCGGCCATGAGTGTAAAGGCCTCAACTTTGCTTACAGACTTGACATTTCTGGTCGAGATGGGTAAGACAGTATGAGACGTAATTTGATTTGATGCCCAATTTAGAAGCTCTCCTCCATACAAATCACCCTTCTCCAGAAGCTTAGAAGTACCAATCTTTCCACCTTTGCCATTTGTTCTGTACGTCCGTACAATGCCTTGTCTGATGAAAAGCATCCTATCAAGTTGGTCCCCCTCTCCAATAATATCCTTGTTCTCATTGTAGTTGATTGGTATGAGATGTTCACAGATTGCTTTCAACAGTTTTTCATCCATAGCTTTAAGAATTCGAACCTATATAGATACATTTAATACATCAGAGTTATGACTAATTAAATCCAATGTGTATGTGTATATATAATATATAGGGACCTTCAGTTGAGGGATCCCTCAAATAAGCTTTTTTGAGGAGACACGTTTGTAGGGCCCACTCCATATTGTATTTCAGTAATCCAAACCGTCTATTTTATAGATACTCATTCAAAGATCATCTCTACAAAAAATCACTTGAATCCAATATCATTTTACCACTCAATTGAATTATTGAAATTTTAGTACTTTTTTGAAGCACCGTGTTCATTGATTTTGTAGGATACAATTGGATATCGAAACAGTTTCCGATTTGTCTAATTTTTTGTAAGAATGATCTATCAATGTAGACTTAAAAAATCGATGGTTTGGATAGTTGAAAAAAAATCCGTACGGGACCTTTAAGAGTATCCCTCAAATAACTTATTTGAGGAATCCCTTAATAAAAGGAGACTATATATGTATATACAGTAAGGAATAATTACTTACATTCTTAAGTGTAGCCAAACGAAGATAACGCCTGATAAAGTTGCTATGTTCCAATGGAAGAACAGAGAGGATGTTCTCTACCTGAACATCTTTATTTTGTTCAAGTTTTTGTTGAACGACTTGCATGATCACTTCCTTCAAATTCTTAGGAAGGCCCTTTCTAGATAGCCACAAATCTATCTCTAGATCTTTCGTTTTCAGCTTCTGTCTAAGCTTTTCTGATCTTGTAGTTGCAAACTGCAAATACGTCTGTATATATAGATATTCCAGAACAAGAATCGCTATTGGTTCAGTTCATGATTAAATCCTCGAATTTATAGTATATATTGGCAGATAAGTAATGTTAGAAACAAAATTCATATGAAGATTTCAAGACCAACCTGCAAATTCCCAATGAGATACAAGAATAACAGCAAGCCAATTATAGAAACAAAAACAGCAAAGAGGTTTTCCCATGCATAGGTACTGGTCTGGAGGTTTTGACCAAGAGAACTGCAAAAATGAAATTGCGCATTGATAGATAATCAAGATATGTAAACACAACACAGATCCACCTAAAGCAAAACAAGACAACAAAGTGCAATCAAGATGTTCATTGGTAACCAGAAATAATTGTTAGGGTACGTAATTGCAAACCTCAGATTTCGCAGCCCCCACCAAAAACAAATCATGAACTTTTGTGGAAAATCTGTTGACCGCAACATACCAGACTGAAGGGCAGCAGCAAATATACCAAAATCAAAGAGGGTTGTATTTGGTTGATTTACAGGACATAACTCATTTAGTAACGTGATATTTCTGAATGTATGGTGATCATCACAATCGAAAGAAGTCAGCTCACATCCATTTTCAATTTTGCAAGCATATTGCCAGCAATCTGTCTCTCTTTGAATAGTCAAAAAATACCATAGAGCTCCGAGTACCTAAAGAACTGCCACAAGTTAGTTAACTAGCTCAAGTGCGAAAATTCACCTCAGTATTATAGAAAAATGTAACTTCATTATTGAAGGACCAAAATTAGCAATAATAATTCTCATCGATCATCTTTGGATCATGTATGTTAATCATTCATTTAACAATAACCTAGATCCTCACCACGAACTCCAACCAAACATCATTAATTGAAACCACAACTATATTAAGCCATTAAAACAAATATTAAGATAAGATTGGAACTTACATGACTAGCAAGGATGTAGAGAAAGAAATTGAAAACACCTTTAACCCATATGCCTGCATTTCTAGGAACCAAATGTCGTTCATGGCACAATAAGAAGATGCGAAGAACCCGTGGCACATATTGCAGCACAAGGAGAGAGTTTAAGAGCTTCCTTGTTTTCAAAGATCTTGAGGCCCTTGTTTTTGAAAAGAAAATGAAGATTACTACCTGGAAGAATAGCAAAGGTTTACTTAAGCCAATTGATGAACATGATTATCGTGTGTCAAATTGGCTTAATCTTGGCGTGGTGGTGGTGGTATTATGTGTAGCCACACTATTTTATATCTTAACAATAACAGAGCAGAATTTATTATCCATGTATATAATGTTAACAAATGCAGAGATTGGGAAAGCAAATGATTTACTCCATAAAAGCTTCTCTTACCTGTGGGATGGGAAGGGCAGCTAAAATGTCAACTAGAATGTATGATCGAAAAATCCTGTTAGCGATTACCAAAGCATCCTTAACTGGTTTGTTTCCTTTCACAGGGGCTTCCTTGTGTTTTTTTGTGACCCTAGCGTCCCCAGGCGACTTAGGTGTAGGTAAAGAAATTAAAATCTGAAAAATAATGTCGACTATGTAGAAGCGATCTGTTAATGATCTAAAGGAAAGAGCTATTGCCTTCAAATTTTTGTCCAATATGAGGCACTTCATATCCTCGTTGACGATCGGAATGTAAAAGAACAAAGGGTCCAGTGAGACAGCAAACACACATGATATTACAAATACCTTAATCCATATTGGATAGAATCTCCCCTGTGGATCAAAAATTTCTTTTAATATTGTTGACCATTTTCTACTCGATCTATTTCCTTTATCTTTTGGGGCAGATTTCCCCTTGGCAGTCATTGATTTCCAATGATCTATAACCAATCTGAAATGGCAAAACAAACATCAAAATGTGTCCAAATTGCAGCCATCAGAATAAAGAAGCATAAAAAGAGCCAAATCATATATGGTATAATTTGAATGAAGTCCTACAAATATACGGCCATTGTAGGTCGTTTCCCCACCAAAAGCAAAAGCAAAAGCAGTCCAAACAAACTTGACAGGGGACGCAACTTGGGACAGTATCAGTATGGGTATTCCAATACGAGTGAAACGAGGTTAAGGGTCCATTTGGATTGAGGGATTCGAGTACGAGGAAATGTGAGAGGCGTTTCTTCACGAACTTGTATATTTATATAGGAATGTAGATCGTGAGAGCTAAGATATAGTAAGATTTTTCTTGCAAATTTGCATAGGCTAATTTAAACGCAGACACAATACATAAAATTTATTTGAAGGGCAGATGCCAGAGCCAGTGCGGATACAATACAACTTACAAGTCCTAATGTTTGAATACACAACTGATTTAAGAACGGAAAAAAGAAATGCAATTAAGTCATCTCAAGGTGAAACAGTTACTAACCTCTCAGTTTTCACTATCGAATTCTCCACATCTAAAGCTACTTCGCTGCCAGCCATTATTCTTAAAATAAGGAGCTTACTTCGTAAAGGATGATATCACAAAGTTGTGAATGATGGCTTTTGCAAACTTATATTGTTAGAGAATTATCCATATTCAATGTACAACAGCGAGTGTGGATAAACCCTGCAGAGAAAGATCAGAGAGAAAGAGAAAAGGAGAGAGAGAGAGAGAGAGAGAGAGAGAGAGAGAGAGAGAGAGTTTAACTGAATGGAAGCTTAGCTTACAGCAGTGACACACTGAGTGAGTGAGTCAATTTTTCATTTACACAGGGTGGAGCAGAGAGAAGGGGCATTTGAGATTGAGTGGCAGAAATTGAAGCTGGCTAATATACACATGATGATGAAGCAGCAGCAGCTAGCTAGCAAATTTGACCAGGTACTCGTTTGGACGAAAATTCTACGGTGGAATAATATCATCTCAAGTTCTCACTTACCAACCACTACATTTCCATTAAGAATCTCAAGACTCGAGGCTTGAGTCTTTCTTTATAGATGGATTTGGCTCTTGGTTTAAAATACGCCAAGTCATCAACATCAGATATATTAGTTAATAATAATAATAATAATAATAATAAGATGTGAGTTGGAAGATTTATGTGAGATTCGACTGGTGGAAGTCAAAACTCGCATCACTGTTTGTTTGTTGAGAATGCGAAAGCACGGAGAAAAAAGGCGTGGCGGTGGAGAGTCCTCTAGTCTAACTTCTGCAAGGAAAATTTCTGAAACAACAGCCTTTTATATATGAGTTTTTCTATTTAAACCCCATACTTTTCTTTGTTCACTTCAATACTTAAATCATTAAGCTTTTAAGTTTTATTATTCTGTAAAAAGACAAAAAAGGTCATCCAACTTAATACTTAAACCTAGTACATCTATACACACACCCAACCACTCTTCATATTAAGTTTTAGAAAAACACGAACTTCTCTACACTCTATTGCCAGATTTCTCTTTCAATCTAAGAAACCTGCTACACTCTCATCTTCTTTTCACAAACCCTAAATACGGTATGCAAATAGTGGCTTGTTGTAATTCTGAGGTTGAGGTGAACTTAGAGTGGTAAGGGGCAAGATAGTGGAATGTGATGTGTGGGGTTCATAAGTTTTTTTAATTTTTTTTCAGCTGGGTGTGTATTTAGGGGTAGTTTGGGAAGATAGTGGGGTTTTCTTAGAAATTGAGAAAATTTAAATTAGAAGTTGGGGTGAACTTAGAATATGGGGTGGACAAAGAGAAGTGCGGGGTTTAAATAGAAAAACTCTTCATATATTTATAGATTGGCAAAAATGTAGCAATTGTCTCTCAAATAAGACCCGACTTTATTTTTTGTCCCTTAACTCCAAGAATTGTTATTACCACTAATCCTTTCCGTCAAAATTGATCATATGTCATGCACGTGAAAGATATTTTAGGGGCAAATAAGACTTTTACCTAGCCACCACCTCCTTCTACCCAAACCCAGCCGCACGCCACCCCTTTCTCCCTAAATCTGCACATCCCTTTACCTCACTGATAAGTTTATATTTTATATATAGTTTATGCCTCCTTTGCTTATTTATTTGTTAATTTTCTTGGATTAAATTGGTTGTTTTAATTGGTTTTGTGAGATTTGTGAAGGAATTGTAGGAGAAAGTGTGCTTAAAAGGGCAAGAAGATGAAGATTGGAGTTTAATTAAAAAGAAGCCAAATCATTCCTTTTGTTGCAAGGAATGTTGTCAAATTTCCTAGTTCAAGATGGTTCAAGTCTTATCAAGTCAAACAAGAAGAAATAAAGAAGACCTTATATTAGAAGGAATCCTATTTTTTATAACAATTGTAATTATAACTTAGGTAGGATTTCTAGGGGTTTTATAAATAGGGAGTTTAGGTCATTGTTAAAGGGATCCATTACCCATCATCCATCCGTCACCCTCCATCATCTACCATCAAAATTCCTACATATTCAGACTCATAGCCAAAACACTCAAAGGAGAGAGAGTTTTAGAGAGACAAAGAAGACGACATGGAGCTAGAGTTGCTGTTGTGCAGAGATCAAATCTTCAATTGGTTTTTTCTTTCCTATGACACTGTTTATTATGGTTTTTATTAAAGTTGTCATGAACTAATTTCTTTTTGTTAGGGCTACGATGTAGCCTAGCCATGAATACTCAATTACTTTAGTCAATGTTAATTCCAAGTATTTTTCCATGCTGAGTATCTATTACCATGTTTAATGCTTTGAATGTTTGGCCAACATTTAATTGTTTTGATGCTAAATTGACGATAGGGATATCCAATTTGGGGTTGCTTCTTGTACTAGATGCCATGAGTTACATGATTAGACAGGGATGTTTTTCATGACTTATGTGGTTGTTTTGTAGGTTTTCCAAGGAGTTTAATAGGTTCTTATTATCTTATTAATTCCATCACTAGGGATAGAGTGGGTTGGTAATAAGGATACTTTTGGTGTAACCAGGGATGGAGTATCAAATAAAATAGGGAAAATCAACTGTCAACACGGAGAATAATTAGGATTAACATGCTAAGGGAATTGGGTAGAATCGGCTATGGTGAAATCGGAAGGTCTAGTGCTCTCATAACTTGAATCTCACTATTTTATTTTTCTAAGCTTGCTTTTATTCATTGTTTTAGTTAATTAATTAATCAAAATCTCATCATTCAATTGTTCAAATAAAGTCTTGGGTTAATCACAATTGGTACTTAGTAAATTAAATCACTCTTCGTGGGAATGACACTTCACTTATCACTGTATTACTTGTGCGGATTGTGCGCTTGCAATAAATTCACAACACTCACCAACCCATAAACACAAACCATCCTAGATGGTTCAAAGTCTCGAAGCCAATTAATAAATGGTGCGGACATTTCTCGGACCCTTTGATTGAAGACCTTCATGAAATCCATGACGAATTTGCAGAATATGAAAAGATTAATAAATAAATAAATAATTGGAAATTCGTGATCAGATTGGAACATACAAAAATTACGATGAATCTGATGAAATCGCCACCCCCTCCTCCTCACATGCTCAAATCGGGGGACTTGTTTTTTTTGTTTTTTTAATTGAGTTTATTTATCTAATAAATATTTTATATGAATTTTCCAATTTGTCCTTAATTTTGATAGAAAATTTAACTACTCAATTAAATTATTAAAATTTTAGTACTTTCTTGAAGCACCGTGTTCATTGATTTTGTGGGACACAATTAGATGTCTAAATGGTTTCCGATTTGTCTAATTTTTTGTAAGGATGATCTGTGAATGAAGACTTGAAAAATAGATGGTTTGGATCATTGGAAAAAAAAAATTTAGGGTACCTTAAAGGGCGGCCTTCAAATAAAATTATTTGAGAAATCCCTCAATAGAAGGGGTATATATATATCACATTCTTTTTTCTAATTATACTGTGTTTTGTCCTTTAAAAACTAAGGTAGAGGAACATGAAGAGATTATTAATGAAATAAGAAAATGGCAAGGGACATATTATATATGTACATGTTAGCTTGGTAAACCCTTAAAATTGTCATTCATAAACCATAAAAGACATACAAGGAATTACACGAATACAGTGGTGATAGCTGACAATTAGCAACTGAAAAATAAAAAATAAAAATACATATAGAAAATAATTAAAACTCTAGCTGAGTTGTCATGTAAATTTTTTATTTTCATTATTTAAAAGAGCACGACAAATGCACAAATTTAACTTGTAATAAATAAACTAATATTGTATTTAGACAAATTAATACAACTAGCTACCACGCAGCTAATTGGTTCTGTCCTTCGAGAAATTATACAGTGATACGGTACTACCACATGGCAGTGATAGGTGGTAGTACGGATTAATAGAATAATGACATCTGGCACAGCTGTTATTAGAGAGAGAGCGCTTTCATCTAGTACGAATGTTAACGCCGTTTACTCTCTTCCTTTTTCTTTTTTTTTTGTTTCTTTCAAAGCAAAAGTAACCCTAACACGTGAATTGTCATTGGAATCTGCACCACCATTCAAAAAATACTTTTGCAGCCGAAGAAAAGGAGCACCCGCCACCCCAAAAAAATAAAGGACTAGCCTCAGACAAAAATGGATAATGGTAAATCAATCAAACAATCCTTTACTTTATACAGCGCTTTTTTTTCTTTTTTTTCTTTTTTTTCTTTTCCAATTTCTGCATGCTGTTTTCGATTGTTGCAGGCTATAATTTTTTTTTTCGATTTCTGTAGGTTGTTCTTTTTACTATTCCGATAAAGTGGAACTAGATTCACACATATAGTTAGTTGCATATATATAGTCTAATTACTTTTTGCATATCTATTTCGTTAACTTGGCTGCTTGCATGAAATGTATTTTTTTTTTCTAGTACACAGATGTACTTGTTAATAAGTATTTTATCAACAATTACAATCTTAATTTTTGTTTGTTTTGTTTTTAAAATGATGTTGTGGCGTGTGCAAGTAGTTATTGATATTGAAAGTGAAGAAGAAAATCCAATGATCGTCAATCGTATGGAAAGTTTCCAAGAAGATTTGCTTGGAAAAGTTGTGTCCACTGAAGAG